AGAGAGAGAGAGAGAGAGAGAGAGAGAGAGAGAGAGAGAGAGAGAGAATGCTTGTTAGTGCTCAGATCCCTCCTTTTCATTGGTCCAGAGCCCAGCCCATGAAATGATATCACTCACATTCAGGGCCTTCACACTTCAATGTACCCAATTAAGAAAGACGATCGCAGGCGTCCTCAGAGGTCCTAGTGATTCTAGACTTTGTCAAGTCAACAGTCAACACCACCCGTCAGAGACAGTTAATATCCGTAGACTAGGATTTTCCTAACCTCCACAGATAAGGTGATCAGGAAGGGTTGGGGTCCCAGCAGGTGAGAGGACCAGTTACTGCTCTAGCCCTGGCAGTCAGAGAAGGCCTCTGACAGAGATGAGACTTGGAGAGAGTGAGGGGATCATTTACAGGCATGTCTGGAGACAGTGGTATTTTCAGAAGTGGGCTCTGGGAGTGGACAGAAAAGCCAGTGTGGCTGAAGCAGCTTGACGGACGAGGACTAAAAGGAGCCGAGGCTCTCACACAGATGGGCCAAGAACCAGCAGAAGCTCTGGTCTACTCCTGGGGACAAGTCTTGGAAGAGCAGATATCACTTGGTCCTTCCAAGTCATGGGCAAAATAATACAAACTCCCTTCTGGTATCCACTGTATGCCAGGCTCTGATTTCTTGGCATAGGATCTAGGGACTATCACTGGCCCTAAGAATGTGAGGTATTATTAACTCCATTTTCCGGGGCAGCAAAAAATGAGACCCCGAGAAGCTTCTGGCCTTGAACTAAAGCCAGATTTCTTTGATGCCAGCCCCTGGCTGGCTCTGATCATATTGTCCTACAATTCTTTGTTTACAGCTCTCTTTCCTCTGCTGCAGCCAGCCACTCGGTCTCATTCATAGTTTTATTTTACTTCCAAGGTCCCATGTGTCCAAACCTGCCCGAAGAGCAACTGAATGAATGAGTCTTCGGAGGCGGGGCCCCTTCTGCCTCTCAGGCTTCTGTAGTTTGGATCTGGAATTGGGAGGGGGCTGGACAGGAATTCCAAGCCTCCGGAGGGTCAGAAGCAGAGGGGAGGGGGAAAACCGGGAGAAAGCGAAAGTGAAGGGAGCAGGGAGCCCCAGTGAGGAGGCGCAGACAGGGAAGGAAATCTCCGGGTCAGTAATAATTCATGGTCTCAGGAAGCAGCCGCGGCTGGAGCACCGGAGCACGGGCCCCGTGGGGAGGGGCCCGAAGAGGCTCCTCACTACAGCCCAGCCTGGCTGGGTCACGGTCAAATGGTATGGGGGTGGGGAGACCAGGTGTGGGGACAGACTATCCCTACAGACTTTGGGCTCTGAAGACTTAAGGGTTTCCTCTCCCAGCGGCTCAGTCCTGGGCCCCTTCTGGGCTAGATCAGGGGCTGGAGAAACACAGCCCTTGGAGCGGGAAAGGGGTCTTTCAGAAAACCAAGAAGTTCCTAGAAGCCTTGCGCTCTCTGCAGTTCTAGTCAACCTTTGAGAGGAAAATGACGGTATTTTCAAGGCCAAGTGGATGCTGATTTTTATCAGTTCTGGGATGACACTGGGAAGCAGGTATGCCTGACACGAGGACCCCGGTGGCCATCATCTACTCAGTTATTCTTCCCAGGTCCTCTGAAGAGAACACCCAGGCTGCAGCCTGAAATTCTGAAAGAAGTGGGAGGGGCGACACTGACAGGGGATTCCAAGAGCAGCGTGGTCAGATCGGCACCGTGGGCACTGTCCTGCAACTTTAGCTGTCCTGTTGACTCCACCAGTCTTCAGGGATTGAAAAGACAAAGTTGACTTTGTTCTGATCTTTATCTTCCAACTAAAACCATGCCTGACATATAGTAGAGCCCTGCCAAATAATTAAGTGACTGAATGGAACTTGAGCTTTTTCTGGGAAGGGGGCATCTTAGTCAGGGTTTCTATTGCTGCAATGAAACACCATGACCAAAAGGCAAATTGGGGAGGAAAGAGTTTATTCGGCTTATACTTCCACATTGCTGCTCATCATTGAAGGAAGTCAGGACAGGAACTCAAATAGGGCAGGATCCCGGAGGTAGGAGTTGATGTAGAGGCGGTGGAGGGAAGCTGCTTACTGACTTGCTTCCCCTGGCCTGCTCGCCTGCCTTCGTATAGAACCCAGGACCGCCTGCCCAGGGATGGTATCACCCACCATGGCTGCCCGTCCCTTTGATCACTAATTGAGAAAATACTTTTATAGTTGGATCTCATGGAGGCATTTCCTCAGCTGAAGCCCTCTCCTCTCTGATGACTCTAGCTTGTGAAAGTCGACACAAAATCAGCCAGTACCGAGGAAAGAAAAGAAAAAATTTTGTCAACAAGAGAGGTGTCTTCGCTCCCCTGGGACAGCTCCAGCATCATTGTGTACGCTTGTGAGCTCGTATAAAATGCAGTTTCCTGGGCCACATTAGAACTGCTGAATGGAGCATAGCCTAGTCTGAGAAACTTAGTTCAAAGCCCCTGGCCGCGGTTCTAACGGTACACCGGAGTTGCTAGGATACTGGATTCGACTTTTGAGCACGGGAATAGTCTTACAATGGTAAGGAATAAACGGGCCTTGCTAACAGGGACCTGACAGCGGTCTCCCAGAAGTCCAGATCAGAGCCCCTGGCCATCTCAAGCCCAGAACATTAGGGAAGGGCCAAGAGTTCGGGGCCACTTTCAACTTGGGGGACCCAGAAGCAGACGCATCGGCAGTGGCCGGGGCGGGGTGGGGCGGGACGG